GAGGAAATACCTGGCAGTCCACTTCTGAAAAATCAGCCATAGAAAACCCCGTGGAGCACAATTCCACTTTGACACACACGGGGTCACCATGAGCCAGATCTAGTCAGCAGCAACTGGTTTTGTAATAGGTGCCAGGCATTTTGCATATATGATCTCCAGCCCTTATATGGGAGGTAATACGATCCACTTTAGCAAATATGGAAACTGGAGATTCAGAGAGGTCACAAAATTTTCCCAAAGTCACACAGATAGTATTAACAGACTTGAGATTCACATTCAGAGGCATATAGGATATACCCTTTCATTTGCCACGTTCTGCCTCCTTCAAATACACTGAAAGGATACAAAGAGATAAAGAAAATGTAAGATTAGCCTTCAGTTTCACCATCTATTTAAAAAGTGATGTTGATATTTTACATGAGATTATTCCCATGTGTCCGTGTGATATAGTACTTAGCCTTAAGACTAGAATTCATCCATTGCCTCTTCATTTCACACTTCAGTGAGCCTGATGTCTAAACCCCAAGCATTTTTTTGGCCTTTGAAAGGTAAAATAGTCAGGTCAAGTCTGCTTAATAATCCAGGTTGAGGAGGTCACAAGCTTATGGCTAATCTTTGAGTTACATAATTACATTACCTTGATGGTGACACATTCCGTTGAAGGCAGAGATATCTGATTGCACGTGAGGTTAGCTGACTAAGATGACCGCCATCTAAAATCTCGTGAAAGGAGTCTGTCTAGGAAGTGATTGTGGAAGTTAGTCACTTTGACTACAGCAATTATTTTGCCATAGCAACGATCAAAATGGCAGGCTCTTTCCTAAAGTCACATGGACAGTTTCAAACAGGGCCGGGGATTCCAGAAAGTAGGTACATAACATGTGAGTCATTTCAAAAGCTAGTGTTTTACTAAGAGAAAATGGGATAGAATTAGAGCATAAATTAAAATCTCATTTAAAAAAATGAAATAAAAAATAAAAGCTCACTTTTATTCTCTCAAATCTATTAGAGAATTTGTAAAGTTATAGGCACATTTTAAAAAAACAAAACTGATCAAATCAACAATGACAAGATTTTTTGGTCACCGCAGCAAAACCCCCAGGCAGTCTGTGGTATGATACGCTTTTATTATCGGCCCGATAGAAACGACTAATAGCAAACTTTGTACCTGGCAGATTAATTTATGCAGAGTTCATACTCCGTTCCCTCTCCACATGTTATAACGGTGGCAAAGTCATTCTGGGGAGTTATTACCCCAACATAATCATACCCCTGTGAATTAGGAGCAGTTAAATAGGTTCTGTTATCAGAGACACATATGCACCAAAGCAGCTGTCGTTCTGAAGCCGCCATGGGTGATTAAGACTCTCACTGATAGGGGCTGCCTCCGAATAGGCTGGAGTCAGGTAGCTACACGTCAGCCGAGACAAATTCAGGAGACGTACTGAGAAAATTGTCTTTTAAAAGGTTCTATCATACCATCAGGGCTTCTTTTAAGTGCTGGGGTCATGGATTTCATTCTTCCTGACCAGGTAGCCGTCAGAAGACTGGCTCAATACCTGGATGTGAGATTACAGGTGATATTAAAGGAGATGAATGCATTGAACTCATGACAGGGAATGTCTTCTACTGGATTTTCATAATGACCGGCTGCAGATGGGCTGAGGGAAAAGTCAGATCAAGAGCTTTTCTGCCAGAAGAAAGAAACCTTCCCTCTTATTCTCCTTCTACAAAAAGAATAGCTGAGCATCAAGGGGACAAATACAACTTTTTTTTTTTTTTTTAACACACCCTTTTTTGCGGAAAAGGAAAAGTTGAGAAGAAAAACAGGACCTCTGAAGCTACCATTACGGCTTTAAT